TGAAATTTGTAAGAGTGCAATGGCACAGGCATTAAAGAACCAAGTGTGAATGAAGGATAAATCAGATTAGAATTGAGACTACTCAGGGGAGGGAGGAGAAGAGGAGCACAGTGGGAAAGGTGCACAGAGGACCATGATGGAGGACATTGGGAGTGGTGCGGTAACGTACATCTGGAGGGTATGACCCATGCCTCCCAATCACACAATGCTGCAAACCAGTGTTACCTCAATTAAAAACAATAACAAACATTAAATTCTCTTCTGATTACTCAGGTTATTAAAAAAGAACATTAAAGAAACCTATTTAGAGATTTGGAAACTCTTAACAGTTTGTAACAATCAAAGATCAGATCACCACCAATTTATAAGCCTAAGTAATGGCCATTTGTCCTGAACAATCAGATATGCAATGTTCTATCTAAGGGGGAATTTAATTTAAACATGAACAAGTAAAAAGGGAGAGAAAAAAGGTTGAGTTAACAGGTTTTTTTCCCAAAAATGCACTGAAAGAACAATAAAATGCTAAAAGCATGAAGGATTACAAGTGAAGTAAGAGTAGCATAAAGAGAACTAGAAATGAAATTATACATCAAAATCAGAAACAATATCTTTGTGCTAGACATAAGAAAACAGGATAGAACAGATAAACATGACTGTAAATAAAAGGCTGTTATTATGTGGTAATATATAAACTGCTAGAGCCACTAGGGAAACTGGATGCTAGGTATTTTAAAAATGAGCAAATGAAAAACAGACTTATTTAAAGTCTGTTTTAAAATATCACAGTAGATTCATTTCAATTTCCAAACTATTTTAAGCTGAATAATTGGTCAACTGGGTAAATTCAATGGAAATTAATCATTTACACTGAAACACAAAATCAGAATAATGGGGGGTGGGTGTGTGTGTGTGTGTGTGTGTGTGTGTGTGTGTGTGTGTGTGTATGTGTTTTAGAGAGAGAGAGCAATTGAGATTTATGTAACTACTACAATTCCCCAAGGTTACTATATGCAACAAAATGGATTTGAAAAGATTGAATGTCAATTTCCAAGTCACTGGCTTCTTAAATAATTTCTGTGTGGTGGCAATATAACCAGTAACTATCACTTTAAAGGCAGGAGCAAATGCTTTGGATCATGTGGTAATAATGGTATAGAGGGAAATTAAAAGAACCTCCCTTTTTCTTTCAGCAGTTTACAAATAACTCTAAATCTTGCTAATGCGAGGCTACATCCCCATCTCAAAGACATATTAAAGGATATGAATATATTCTTTATAATCACATATATGGGAATACATTTGTATATATACACTAAAACAAATGAAACTACAACACAAAAGATCCATCATCAATGGAGGCGTCTTAACACCTTTCAAATATGGCTCTGATCTGTCAAGACTCCCTCCACTCTATTTTATGTCTTAGGACCTAAGGTAAGCTCTCGATCAATGGTTTTCCCAGACTCACCTTGAGCATTCTCTCCAATAAAGACACAAATTTAATACCTCCCCCCCAGTACAGACTGGATGGTCCTAGCTCTTATAAAACCCTCTACACTTGTCCATTATGGTACTTACCATACATGTAACATCTTGGTTGTTTATTTATCTCTCACTGGACTGTTAGTACTTGAGTACACGCTATATTTTAGTTGTTTTTGAATCCTCATCACCTAAAATAATATCTAGACCATAACAAGACACTCAGAAAACTAATGAATGAATAGAACTGTTCACATCTGTGTTTTTATAGCCCTAAAAAATGAGAGAAGTATGATAGACAAGGAGAAAGAAGTATTTTTCCCCAAAAGACAGATATTCTGGAATGGCTTATAAATTAATCATATTCACAAAGAAACTGAAATACAGAAGATTGAAACTGAACCTCTCACCACTGACCGCAATGATGCCAACAACCTAATAATATCTTCAACAATAATGAACAAAGCCCAAATCTGCACACTGATTTTCTAATATAAATCTTAAAATCTGGTCTCATTCTCTTGAACCAAAGACACTGTTGAGAATTCAATTATAACTGCTAGTTTAAAACTAATCATTAATATGGATCTTTAAAGATTTTGGTAGAACATTGTCTTCATTATCAGCTATGTAACATGGTTTGAAAAACAGAACTGCTTAAAAAAAAACCTGCAAAATATAATCAACATAAATGTGCTGTGTTATGCTACAATATTAACAGTTTCCAACTGTTTTTCCAAGAGTCTGAAGCAGTAATGTGAATTTCTTTCAATAAGGCTATAGTTTCATTTTTTCCAGGAAAATACTTTTAATAGGATTACTGACCCTTTTAACACTCTTGGAAAGAAAATGAATCCCATAAGCATTCTGGCGTATAACTATTATAAAAATAAATAGAACAGTCAATCAGTGGAAATGGTAATGGACTTGAGACACTGAACTTACAAAGGAATGTACATAAGTATGTGTGGGGATGACCACTTTAACAGAGGAATGATTCCATTACATATCAACAAAACAACCAAACACACTAAGACAAAGGAAGGTTTGGAAAGAAGGGATAAACTTTCAAGAAGTAGCTTTCACATCTCTTTAAAAGGGAACTAACTGACCACATTCACTTTGATCAATTCCACTAGCTTCCATGCAATTCTTAGTCCCTAAGTCCTGTTTGGTTTTTAGTAGGAATTTAAATATTTGTGGGGTGAGGGGTAGGATGCTTACTGATTTAAGGCACATTTTTGCACTCACAACTCTTTGTGCTTTAAGAGGAATTTTTTCAGGCCATTAGTTTATAATGTGAACTGGCGCCTAGGGATATTTTGAAAGGAAAAAAACTTAGTCTGCTTGGAGACACAATTTATGTGACGTGCGTCATCATTTATTTCAGCTCAATTTGGGGCCCAAACTGAACTCATAAAGAAGTCACCACATCTGCAACATTTTCTTTCTCAACATGCAATGATCTTACAGAAATCTGAAAACAAAATAAACCTCTTATCCCAAGAACAAAAACATTGTAACCTCCTATAAAGTATCAAAATCCTTAGAAGAAGTTCTTATTGATTTCAGAGTATATAAAGTCAATCTTACAAATAAGTCCTAAAATAATTTGGATTATCAAAATGTCACAGGCATGCCAAAATGCATTATTTTTGTGGATTTTTACCCTTGATTTCACACCCCACCCCAGCCTTATACCACTACTGTGTGTGGGTCCAGAAAACAGAAACTAAATATCTAGGATCAGAGAAAGCAAGCATCACCCCAGTTAATAGATAAAAAGATGACTTGGCCAGAATCAAGACTGATTTGGGCCTTTCTGGTGGCCTAGGGGCTAGGTCTCAGTGCTATCACTGGTGCGGCCTGAGTTCAATACCTGGCTAGGGAGCTAACCCACATATGGGCCAGCAGACCTCTCCTGTCTCACCCGCTGCTCCTCTCAGCAGTGTATTTCCGTAAATCCACCTGTTTTGCTCCCTACTGTGTCTCTGAATTCTCTCACGCTCCCTGCTACACCTCTGGTCTATACTACAGTTCTATGCAAAAAAAATTTTTTTAAAAATCAAGACTAATTTGATTCATATATCATGTCAAAATAAATCACTCATGGCATTAAAGTTAACTGATATATCCTGAAGTCTCCATTTCCATTAAGTGCAAAAAAATCATGGTGCAAATTTTTAAGTTATAAACAAAACAGATAACAATTTTCCAATTTTCTTTCAAGATAAAAGAAACCAGTTAGAATCAACTCTCCTGCTTTTTATTGTAACTGCCCTTCTTTTCCACTGGCTAAGGACACATCAGTCATGACTTAGCGTCATGAAAACAGGTTACCTTGACCTATTCTCAACCCCGCGTACACATTAGAATTACCATAAGAACTTTCACAAAATACTGGTGATTTCTAGGTCCCAGCTAAGATTCAGAGTGGGCCCTGGTACCAATATAATTTAAAAGCTACTCAGGTGAGTCCAACATGCAGGTAGGGGGAAAACCAATGACCCTACAAATACGGATCAATGGTCCAGAAAGCACCAAGGTGGAGAGCAAGCCAATGGCATCTGGAGCAGCAACAAAGATTACAGAGACAGATGCCTAGAGGAGCCGCCTGAGCGAATGAAGCAGGCAATGTATACACCCATTTTAGATTCCTCAAGGACCAAAGGTGTGACAAACCAGGGAGCACACAGGCAGAGTCCTAGTCAAGCTGAGATTGACATGAGGAAAACAACAGATCTCAATCAGGAAAAAAAAAAACAAATACACAAATCAAGCTTTTAATATTGACTATTAAAAAAACAACAATAACACTATGTGAAGCCAACAAAACACATAATGAAACTGGCCTTTAGGCTTCAGTTGATCACTTCTCATGTAGAGGACTGAAGCCAGAGCAGCAACAGCTGCATCATAGCAACAAAAATAACACCTGGTGTTCATTAAGTACTTACATGTGAGCTACTGTGCTGACAGTTTTGCACAGATTATCTCAATTAACCTCCATCAATCTTTGAAATTATACGGGAACTATAACCAAGATGAAAATGCATACATTGTGCAAAAATGAAAAATGATGTAAAAAATACATAAAATTTTAAAAAGATACCACTATTATTTCCCCTTTACTCAGTAACTACCTCCCAAGGTCATACAGCCAAAAGGTGGAGATGCCAGAATCCAAACATATATAACATAACGCCACGGTCTGTACTATGTACTATTTCTTAGTTTTAAATATGCTTTTAACAACCTCCACTCTTGGCACTGTGCGTCTTCAAAAACAAAATGAAGGGATTATTCTAAACTAGACTATTTCTCAGGTCCTTCTTTGTTCTCAAATTCAATGGCTCTTGGTATTTACACACCAATAATGTGAGTATCCTGACGAGAAGACCTGCTCAAAGGAGTAGAATGAATGCTCATAAAATAGTCTGTCAGAAAAGACAGCAAGGACACAAAATTAAAATAAAAATTGTTACCTCTACTGCTATCCAGAGCTTATTTCTCCTTACCTTTTGAAAGATAAGTAAACGTGCTCAGAAATTCTTCATATGTTTGCTCATGACAATTAACAAACTTATCCAAGACTTCTTCAATTAATCGATCTTGGTCCATGATCTCCAATGCTGTTATTTGGGCAGGCATTCCTATTCACAAAGCTGCTTTATCTATGAGACAAAGAAAATCATGAGCTACAAGTTGTTGATACCAGTGTCTCTAAAATTACTCCAGGTGAGTGAGTGAAAGAATCCCATCTCCAAAATACATCAAGTAGTTCAAAAGAAAGAGTTTTACAGGGTAGGGATGAACACATGGGACCTATGGTGATGGTTCACAGGTGTCAGTAGAACTACAGGGACTACAATGGTGGAAGAAAAAAAAATTAATGAATTAATTAATTTTTAAAAAAGGACCAGAGATTTATTCACACCTTTGCCACTGAATTTGTTAACTATCACAATGTTAATTTTGTTTTAACTTCCTCATTTCCATCTCCTCAACTTACTGGAATATCATCACACCCTTATTAATTTTGTGTCAGAAAAGATGCCCTGACGTTTTTAATTTTCTATTTTTAATATACGTATTTTTATTGAGGTAAGTTTACCACACTGTAGATGAGTTAGAGGTATTGGTTCACACCTCTTCAGATGTATGTTATCACACCACACCTACCAGCAAATAGCCCTTCACCAAAGTCCAGTGTGCTTCCTCCCCCTTTGCTCGCCACCTTCCCCCTCTGATAGTCTCAATTCAAAAGTCAGATTTTATTTCAACAGTGAGATCTTTTTAAATGTACAAACAATATCATCATTATATTGTCCTTTCTCAATCTTCTGAGTTCAAACTTTTTTGTCTTTGCTTTTTATAGAAGTAACATTGTATATAACATTATGTAAGTCAGGTGTGCATCACTGAAAGTCAGCATGTGTATATTATTCCGCATTAGGTTCAACATGAAAAATTCAAACAAATTTCTTTTCCAAAAGTCTGCCCAGAATTCAGTTTCTCTCTGAAGGCTTTTAAACTTCAAATCCCATCAACACAGGAAGAGCTGATCATAAATTTTTCCCATCACATCATATTGGAAATAGTTGTGTACATCCTTGTGTCCTCCATTAGACTCCAAGCCAGGAAAGGGAGGATCCATGTTTTCATCTTTGTATCCCAAATGTTTAATAGCTCAGGAGTTAGCATAGAGCTGGCAGTTAATCAATGTCAAGCTAAAACTACCCATTTGAGCAAATATTGCCGGAAACTGGCAAAACACCCACTGAACTTGCCCAATTACTTCACCTGTGCTTTACATGGCACAGTTCCGAGTCCTTTTCATCCTTCTGATGAATCTACCTGGGAAAAATTTCACACTGCCCTGCATCCCTTTAAAATAAGCCATCCAGAAATAAAGACGAGACTCTAGATATGGTCTGGATACAGTGAGGTTTGACTCTCACATCCTAAATAGTGCACTCCTGCTATCTAGCTGAAGGTCACTTCCACATGGCTGGTGACCCCTTCACATTGTCAGTTCATTTAACACACTGCTAACTAAATGCCTGTCAGCTACAACACAGTGCCTCAGTCCTCACACAGTTTGAACTTTGGTTTTGCTTGTGATATTTCATCTTGTTAAATCCCATTCATTCTGATGAAATATCAGTCTTACATGGCTTTGAGCAAATTGACTAGCTACGTAAAGAAGAGTAGTTACTACCTAAGTTGCCAGTATAACTCATGGAGATAATGAAAAGACGGGGTTTGCCAACACTTTATAACAGGAAGAGAAAACATGAAGCCTCTTCTAGTTTTCTGAAACAAAATAAAGATGCTATAAACCTTATTTATTTGGTATTTACCCAAAAGCTCAGGAAAAATATGCTTTCAAAAGATGATGCCCACAGGCCTCCCTGGTGGTGCAAGGGAGTGCACACTATGAAGCAATCCAAGCCTCTGCAGCATGAGTTCGATCCCCGGCCAGACATGGAGCAACCCACATAGCACAGCAGACCTCCCCTGTCTCACCCGCTGCTCCCCTCAGCAGTGCATTTCAGTGAATCTGCTTGTTCCGTTCCCCACTCTGTCTCTGGTGGATCCTCTTAGCCCCCGCACCTCTGGCCTCTACCCCAGTTCTTGTATGCATAAATAAATAAATCTTAAAAAAAAAAAAGATGATGTCCAGCCTACATCATTTGGTGGCAAGACCTGACCTGAATTAACATAAAAGTATGACTGACTTTCATTTATTCTACTTAGACTATTCGTAAGTTTCCCTGAGGAAACACCAATGGATTTGCTTTTGAGGGGCTTTCCCAGACCCTAAACTGGAGATTTTGTGTAACAGGTGGCATTTACTCTGATTATTTTTCCAAATTCCAAAAAACTCTAACTCTGAAACACATCTGGACCCAAAGGTTTTAAATAAGGAGTTGTAAAGTACATGTGCCTCACAAGGTCTCTATGAGGATAAAATGAGCATAAAAGGCACCGCAAAAAATGTTGATAACAGATCAGCCTAGATATCCTATCTTTTGCCCACAGATAGATCTGTTTTGACTGCGACCCTGTGACTTTGAAGGACCTGATGTTACCTAAAGATAAACCAAGATAATTCCTCATTGTTACAATTCAAGGTAAAACATGGTGTTGTAGAAAACTAAGTGAAAATATAAAGTGTAGCTACGTACTGAATGGAAATGAAAGGAACTATTTCAAGCTACTTGTACCTGAAAATTAGATATCAGAAAAATAATCAGTTATGGTTTATGCAAATTTACTGTAACATTGCTAAGCTTCTACAATCCAAAGTTTAATAAATTATGCTTACATTTGCTAGATAATAAATAATGATAAATATATTCAAAGGTGGCTATTATCTATCTCAGAAGGACAATGTACTTAATTACAAGAATGTCAGTGTCTCTGCTTTTCCAGAATTAGACCCTAGCAAAGTTCTAACACATAACAATCTCATTCTCAAAGCAACTTGGGTAATCTATACTTCAGTGAGCAAACACCAAACAGAAGCAGTCAGGTTGCATTTTAAATTGCTGAAAATGTCTCCTGGAAACTTTCGGTGATAACAGAAATTTCTTTAAACTTCCTTTCCAATTCTCAAATTGGTGTATGTTGAATATTTAGCCTTAACACATTGAGTTTTACTACAGGCAAATAATTAACTGGCTGTGCACAGCCCAAATTCAAAACCTTTCAAGGTCTTTAATTTTATTCATGTGGTTATCACAATACTCAAGAGGTTATATTTTTATCGAATTTTTAAAGACTTTTGGAAAATCCAGTTTTACAAACTGTCATTACTTGAGGAATTTAACAAATGCCCACCTTCAAATTTAGAACTTACTTTATCTATAAAAATACAAATAATCCACTGTCAAAAGTCCCCAGGGACTGACAGTGCAGATAATCATTTACCAGACAGTCAAGTGGTTTATGCAAATCCTAGTGGTTTTCTAGAAGGAAACAGTGCTTTTTCAGTTACCATTCATGTACTTTTGTGCTTTTACCATGAAATATTTTTCTAAAAGAAAAAAAAGAGAGGAAAGAGAGAGAGAGCTCTTGCCTGATTAACAGAATTCTTTGTTTTGGTTTGGTTTTTATGTTTTAAGGCTTAAAACTCCACATGAAAGACCCAGAATATGTTATGATAAGTAAATGTGTATAACTATCCACCAATAAATTGTAAGAAGCACTTTCAGGATCACAGCCTCCGCAAGGAAACACATGGAGGATGTGAGGCTCTGCTTGGACTGCCAAGACGCCAGGCTTGGTGAGCAACATTGTTGTCTTCTTACCAAGTCAGGGAAAGACAGCATGAGAATCAGTATTACCATCAGTCCTGTTTACCACTATCAAGTAAGAAGCTACCAACTACCCAAGCCCCTTAGTGCTATGGGTTCTCTATCAGGACGTTACTAAGAAATATGTTATGGGGCATTATCACCAATGATCTAGCACATCTTTGATTTTACCTGCAGATCTCCAGTTAATGCAACTTACCTAAACAAAATGCACTTCTCAGAGACAGGCATGGTGAACCTTAAAAAAGAAGTCTCCAAGAGCAAGTCTCCTGTGAAAGGGCATAATCTGCTCCTTAACCAGACAGAATTGTATGCCCACAAAAAAAGGTATGTTTTCTTTTTTAAAAGCTGGGAGGTTGATCACTAATACCTGAAAATAATAAATAATAACACATTTTATAGAATGATGGTGTATTATCAGAGGCCCCTTTCTCAAATTTTCAAAGTTTTGTTCAACAATACTTTTGTGCTATGCTCAAAGGTAAGAGGGAATATGATCAAAATAATTCACCTTGCCTATAGAAATAACCATCAGCTTGATACCTCAGAGGGTGAATTTCCTTTTATATTTTAGAAAATGGACAAAACTCGAGAAGACTGAATTACACTAGAAGTGTAAAATATGATAAATGAGATCCAGTATGAACTGATCATTCTTGACTAAACTATAATAATTTTGCATCCTCTAATATTCTTATGTCTTTTAGAGCACATTAAAATGAAAGAAGAATCCAATGACAGATATTGACAAAGACTCTGAGTTGAGAGAATCGTGGAAGTTATCTTGTCCAACTATAGGGAACAAGCAATTGAAACTGAGGACAAAATTTCAGGTGGAGTTTTTGAGTACTGAGCATTGTCACGAGGTTCTCATATCATTAACAGTAACATATGTTAAGGCATACACAAAGTCAGCACAAAATTAAGCAAAAAGCAGTAATCTTGCCGTGGATGGGTGCATCCATGTGTCTGACTATATTCTGTGCTTCGAAACCATACAGACCCGAGACAAAGTAATAAGTTCCTTTACTGTTTTTTTTTTTAATCGGGATGAGATAAAAACATAAAATTCTAACATCAAAGAATATACTACATTTCACGTTACAAATTTCTCCCAATTAAGTTTTTTCTAATACTTAAAAGGCATGGAATTCTTCATTCTCACCAAAAAAATTCAGGGTATGAGCATTTAGACTTCTATATAATTTCCCTAGCTGCAGCACTACAGTGAATATTAAAGAAAGCATTTGGTTAGAGGTAGGAAAGGCCCGGGGATGATGACAGACTACAAAGTTTTAAAGGAAAGAAGTACTGTCAGCCCTCAGAGGTCTTAGAAGTGTGCATAGCTTAGCCATGCTTTTTCCCTTGACAAAAATTTCATTTGAAGGAAAAGAGACGCCCATCCTAAAATTTGCATCTAGTCTATAGCCAGACTGACCTGAGTGTTTAAGCTGTCCTCTAAAATCTGCAACTAGGGCCTCCCTGGTGGTGCAAGGGGTTAAGCTTCAGCACTATGAAGCTATCCTCTGCCACTGCAGCACCAGCTCCATTCCCAGCCAGGGAGGTGACCCACATGGCGCAGCCTGACGCTCCTGACTCACCCCTTCCCTCAGCTGCGTATTTCAGTTAGTCCACCTGTTCTGTTCCCCACTCCTTCTCTGGTGAATCCTCTCAACCCCCACACACACATACCTCTGGCCTGTATCACAGTTCTTGTATGCATAAATGAATCTTTTAAAAAAATAATATCTGCATCTAATAAAAAATTTGGGCTCAGTACACATTTACCTAGAACACAGATATCACATAGTTTGCTTTCAGAGAAAAAGACAGTTCCTTCCCTGAAGAGCACTGTAATCCATAATACATATTCTACTGCAGAATCCCAGTTTTTGTAACTGAAATCACTCTAATGACATATTTCATGATTATTTTCAAATTAAGCAATCTTGAATTGAATGAACGTATTTTCAAATGAAAATGTAATGTGAATAAGAAAAAAACATAATGAAGCAAGCCCCTGAATTTTATAAAGGAAGCATAAAAAAAATGAAAAAATGTAGAACATAGGACTAAGCAAATTCTTAGAATTGACACCAAAATCGTCATCCACAAGAGTAAAAAATTGTAAACCTCATCAAAATTTAAAACCTTGGTTTGTGAAAGATCCTGTTAAGAAGATGAAACATTACAGGCTGGGAAAAAATATTTACAAATCACATATACAACAAAGGACTAGCATGTAGACTAGGTAAGGAACTCTCAAAAGTCAACATTAAAGAAAAACTTAATTCATAAAAAGAACAACAGAAATGCTGACATTTTACCTGAGAGGATATGACATATAAATGGCAAGTATTCACATGAAAAGATATGCAATGTCATCAGCCATTAGAGAAATACAAATTAAAACCACAATGAGATAATACTACAGACTTATTAGTATGGCTAACATGAAAAACTGTGATAATACCAAATCAGGCTAGCATGAAGAGAAACTGGGTAACTCATATGGTGCTGGTGGCAGTGTAAAAATAGTTTGGTAGTTCCTTTCACAGTAATGGATGAACCTACCATATGAACTATCAAGTACACACTATTTATCCCAAAGAAATAAAGACTTGTTCCCACACAAGAATGTGCACATGCATATTCACAGTTCTGTTCATAATAGCCAAAACCTAAAAACCTTTCAAATGTTTCTCAGTGGGTGGATGGTTAACCTACCAATGGAATATCCATAAGGTAGACCACTTCTCAGTGGTTAAAAGGAACAAATTATTGTTTCATGCAGTAACTTGGATGACTCTCAAAGAAATTATGCTAAGTGAAAAATTAGTAAGAGGCTACATACACACTGCATAATTCCATACTGTAGCATGTATGAAATAACATAATCATTGAGATGGAGGACAGATTAATGGTTGCTAGGGTTAGTGATGAAAGGGGGGTATGGTTAAGAACATAAAGTCTTAAAGCCAAGTCTCTTAACTAGGTGGTGGCTGTACAAGGCTAAACACATGATATGATTGAAATACACACACAAATACAAATGAGTGTGTATATATAACGTGAAATCTGTGTATGCCCTGTGGGCTATAACAATATCAATTTCCCACTTTCTATATTATTTTACAGTTATATGGAATGTTAAGATTGCTGAAGACTGGAGCAAGGGTGCAAAGAATCTTCCAGAACCTTTCTTCACAAATTCATATGAGTCTGTCTGTGAAACTTTAAGTATTTTGAAATCAAGAATAAGAAAGTGAGAAGCAGGAGAAAATGGATTAACAAGTGAAGGCAAAGGAGATCTAGGGGAAGAAAATTATCACCAAAAGTTAACCAAGCCTGTTGGAACTCAGGCATGTAGATTGCGATCCCCCTGCAGAAAGCTTTGGGGGTGGGGTATAATACTAATCTATAAAATTACATGTTTAAGCAGAAACTTTCCTCCTGAAAAATTTGCTTCCTTTTTCTGCTCATTCGTCCAAGCTACTGTAATGAGGTTTCTTGAGGCTATCATTCATTAAGCCTTGCTGTTCATCAGCAGATTGTATAAAATCAATTTTATTTCCCCAAAATAGAGTCTTCCTTCAAGCTGTTTCAGTCAATTCTGAAATGTCTGCATTGACTCACTGAGGCTGGTCAGCCGAGTATTAGATTATTTTCAATTACACAGTTATTAATTCTATTAAACAAAAAAAATTGCAAATAGTATTCAAACTTCCTCTCGCCATCACTCCCTATTGCTTTTTAAAAAGCAGATTACCTGTGTACTTGGAATCTGAAGTATATACACATAAGCCAAATTTCTGAAAACCCATTGTTTCTGAAATAAGGAAAAGTACCTCTCAAAACCACTTTTATTTCCTTTCTTGAAAAATTTTGAGAGTTGTGTGCAATCACAAGTAAATACTATACTTTCACCCCCTAACAAAACTCCCACAAGCATATCAACCAACCTCTAATCTAGTATATTTATCAAGAAAAATATATAATACACATATTTCAACCATATCAAAACTAATCTCCTATCCTCAGAAATGTGATCAATGACATCAGTGAGTTAAGGATGATAACAGTCAGTGGTTTGGTAAACATTTTTTTTTTTTAAAGTTCCTGATAAAGCAGTAAATTCATAAGGCAGCAGTATCTGAGTCGACTTTATAGTTCTCTATAAACACACAATAATATTTCAATCATAAAAGATTTGTTGGCTCAACTGTAATTCTGCCTCCACATGGGATGGGATGTCCCATTAATGCCTAGTGTCTCTGTATTGAATGACAACTGTGGAACAAAGGCATCCACTCCTCAATAACGTTGCCCCTTCTCCACTTCCTGAGCCTGCCAGCCACCTGTGCCGTGCACAGCTCTTCTACCATACCAGAAAGCCTGCTTTAAAGCAAAACCTGCCCAGCTAGTTGGAAGCAGGTGTAGACCAAACAAACTAAACCAGCTCTGCTTTTAGGAATTCATTTCTAAGTGCTTTAAAATGCCAGATCTTGCAAATAAAATCGACCTTTTCATTTGACATTCTCTTAAAAGAAAAAGATTTTGAAGACATATTTCTCAGTTATTTTTGATTCTAAATTCCAATGACTGTGGAATAATAAATGGGCTTTAAGAGGTCATACGGTGCTTCTCTAGCTTCCAATTTCTCTCAGAATTTTACTTGCAATTTTGTCTCAATGTACACAAGTGAATTTTTTTCTGGTACACTGTAAAACACCTCTGAAAGTTTTCTGCATTTTATTTTACAGCAAAGATTCAAAGAATGCCCCCTCAAATCAGAGAAAATGGAACATAGGAAAATACCGGCCCTTCTGGTTAAGTGGCCATATTTAATTAAATGCTTTAAATAAAAAGCAACAAGTCACTTGTCATGTTCTTCTCTTGACAATCCATCAAACTAACTGCAGATTGCTTCCTTCTGCAGATTTCCTTTTCCTTCCTCTTTTCTCCTCTGCCAGTTTCAGTTGTGGCTCCTAATGTAGGATTCAACCAAACATCTCCTTTTCCTATACTATTTATATTATTTCCTTAAAAACCAGCCACTTATTTAAAAAAGCAAAATTTGTCTATGCCTATCTGAATGTGATTAAAATTTGCCACTAACCTTATCTCAAAACTTAGGAATTCATTGAGCAACAACCTATTGGTTTCTCCAATTTTAAAATGAAGAAACAATGGGCCTCCCTGGTGGCGCAAGGGGTTGAAATGCAACCTGTGAGTCTATCCACACACAGCCACCGCAGCACCAATTTGATCCCTGGCCAGGGAGCAACCCACATGGCGCAGCAGACCTCTCCTGTCTCGCCCACTGCTCCCTTAGCAGTGTGTTTCTGTTGATCTGCCTGTTCTGTTCCTCACTCTGTCTCTGGTGAATCCTCTCACCCCCTACACCTCTGGCCTGTACCCCAGTTCTTGTATGCATAAATAAAATCTTTCAAACAAAAAATAAAATAAAATGAAGAAACAAGCATTTCTTGAAAAATATTATTACGAGTTCAGGGAAGTGTGCTTCATCCCCTCCTGCCCTTAACCTACCTCTACACACATACCTGCAGTTATGTTACCCTTATCAAGTTTTTTATCTTTCTGGTCTTCAGTACTTTGAATGTAAAGTAAAAAGGGACTGAATTTGTTGTCTTCTATCTTAGACATTCTATTTTTCTCCAAAGATGCCTCCCTCTTGTTCTATCACTAAGTCGGTATATCCCTTTACTAAGTCTTTTATCTTCCATGTGGAAAAAGAATTATTTTATCCTGTAATTACACTGACTTGTATTCTTTAATTGTCCACTGCTTTTGGACTTAAAACAGAAGAAATCAATGTATTTTATTAGGAGTTTGAATTCTATTCTGCTTCCAAGCTTAAAAATGGATTGAGTATACTACAGTCGTGATTTCTTGGTGAACTTTTTAAAAGAGTGGGAAGAATGTAAAGCAAGTTTATCCACACTCAAAAGCTGCTTCCTTCTACTGCCATATATGTTCCTTGAGGGTAAGACCTGTGTCTGATTTTTTTTTAATACTCCACACTAACAAAAGGATAAGAAGTCCCACAGAATGGGAGAAAATATTGCAAAAGACACATTGATAAAGGCCTATTACCCAAGATATATACAATGAATTCTTAAAATTAAACAATATGAAAGCAAATAACCCAATTTTAAAAATGGTCCACAGATCCTGATAGACACCTCACCAAAGACAGAGGAGAAATAAACACAAATTACCTTGACACTAAAACACATTTTCTTAATCATCCACCATACACTGTCACACAGCAGCACCCTGATACAAAGCTGGTTGTAGGCCTCCATGAACAGAACTCCTTCTGAGCCTTGCATTTTAAAAAAGACCAGGGGCCTACCTAGTGGCGCAAGGGATTAAGACACAGCACTATGAAGCTATCCCAAGCCACTGCAGCACGAGTTCAATCCCCAGCCAGGGAGGTGACCCAAATGGTGCAGCAGACCTCTCCTGCCTCGCCCGCTGCTCCCCTCATCAGTATGTTTCAGTCAGTCTGCCTGTTCTGTTCCCCACTCTGTCTCTGGTGAATACTCTTACCCCCCACACCTCTGGCCTGCACCCCAGTTCTTACATGCATAAATAAATCTTTTTAAAAATAATAATAAATAACATTTAAAAATGAGACAAATGAAGAGCAATTCAAAGTCAAAATGACTGACACTGGTATCAGTAGCCTCAGCTTTAGGGAAAAAAATTTCCCATTTGATTCATAATGGTATTTATTTAAATCACACAACTAAAGATTCATTTTCTTCTGTTCTTCTGAATGTTTTTAGTAAAAGTATCATTCAGGTTTTCAACCAGAATTTTCTTTTTGTCTTTACAGATGAATAGTGGGTTGTGTTTACATTGTTCACCAGTAAGGAAATAGTTAAATCTTGAGGGCACACTCTGGTGGATATCTCCCTGTCTATCTAAAGAAAAAAAAAAATTGTCACAGTCAGTTGCTCCTGTTAGATCAGCACTCCCTAGAACAGCTGTAAGCACACACATACATACTCTCTTTACCATCAGCCTGCTGTTTGCCACAGTCAGAGTGGGCACTGCATCTACCCCAAGTGCTGACATTTAGTACCTGCGTTAGCAGCAGAGACTCAGACAGGGGTGAGCAGCCCCTCTGGCTTTCAGGTAGGTCCAATACCTTCATTTCTACCAAAGCTAAAAGATGGGAGCCTACATTTGTAAACTTCCAGGGAAAGACCCCTTCAGCAGCGTGCTGGATATGGGAAGACTGGGTCTGCTGATGGGGAGGGGATGATGCAGAATTTGAAAACTGTGGGGCTTTCTGGTCTCAGACCACTACAAAGATTTAATTTCTGTGGCATCAGAGCCTGTGTATTAATCTTAGTACATAAATGTTGCTCTGGCATAAGTGTCAGAAGGAAGACCTAATCCAGGTTTTACTGCCAGCAAAAAGTCAAATAATGTATCCCTCAAACCTGATTGACTGTGCAAGATCGTGTTAATTCATGCACTAGATGACTACAGTTACAAGAGGTTACCTGCTATTTTGGAGCAATCAGGAAAACATGGGCAACACTGATCAGTAAGATTTAATGCTTCAGAGTACAGTACCTTTCTTTAGAAGGAAAAAAAGAGTCAGTTCAGGCACAGGAAACTACAAACCCAGACCTCACACCATTAGTCTTCTTTTGATTCTCAACTATACCCTAGCTTCACAGCGAATAAGTGAAAATCTCCCTGCTGAGGAGTGTGAGCATGGGGCTGGAAAACTGTATAAATTTATTGGTCTTATATTTCTGCCTTTTAAAAAGAATCTTTAATGTGTTGACTTTGAAACTTCCTTCAGTTGAAGAACGGTGTCTTCTTTTTTCAAAACCTGCCTGTTTTTATCCAGCCTATTTAAAGAAAAAAACACATCAGTAGATTATTTTAGGTCTAGTACAACCTTTAAAAAAATTCTTCTAGAAACCAAGATGTAACTAATATAGTCATATTAAAACCATGGAAAATATACAATAGTCTACTCTAATGAAAACATATTTAGGTTAATAAAGAAAAATTTCAAAAATAAAATAGATACTGCAAAATAATGGGAAAACACTCTTGATGCACTTGTTTATTCCTTGAAGATATACACCATCTGGTTATGGTTTAAAATGGATAATCTAAAAATTAAATACACAGGTACCTAAATTGTATTACAAGAGGAGTTAATTCATCTTAACTGTAATAAACTTTACCACTGTATTTAGAGCCCTGAAGTTATAGGGCGAGCCAACAGCAGGGTATTAAAGGGAAAACAGGTCAGAAATCTTTTAGGGACCTGAACTAAGTTAAAAAAAAAAAATAGGTAATATTCCTTATGTTTTGCCCAAGAAAATGTTCCTGTTTAATCTACTTACAAGTGTTTAATTCACTTACAAGAAACCAAAATCCCTATAACAACCTTAAAATGAACCCAATGGGCTACAATGAAAATGTTTTTCAAAAAGTCGTCTGTTAAAAGCACGTATTCTTGGTGTATACTCACTCCCTGGGGTCTCGAATCTATTACCCCTGTATAGCTCATTTATTATGCCAATAACAGTCTTTAAAATATGTAGGCTTTGGCTTCAGTATCCTCTTTATCCAAAAGTGGGCAACTTTCTAACAATCTTCATAGTATAGTCATTTATGGTTCTCATTTACTGAACTGAGGATAAATATTTCCTCTTAGTTCCTATAGATAACATTGCCTTAGTTGCACAGATGTCTTCTCTTATGTATACTTGTGCAGACCATGTATAAACAACACACTTGACTGAGTTATTTCACAAACAAAGCAAGTTGCTGAACCTACAAACCACCAAGGTCTGAAGAAGAGGCTTGCTTTCATAACCTTAGTAATAATCCTTCTCATTCATCATTTTCTCACTTGATTTAATAACCCACAAGATGATTATTAATATATCACACTTTGAGGAATCTCCCAAGCCAATAAAAAAATAACATATTTAGCAATTATCTGATCTGCAGAAGTGGTTCAGAGCAAGACCATAATTCTTAGTCATCTAAGGAACTTTTGCAGAAGGAATAAAAATAAATTATAGAATCAATTATCATTTATTGAATACGTATATTGTGCCAGGCACTGAATTATGTGATTTATATGTGCTATCACATTTATTTCTCAAATAACTCAGTTAAAGAGTCTAGTATTATTTCCATTTTGCAGATATAAGAAAAAAGAGAAAATAACTTGCTCAAGATGGTTTCTTGGCAACTAAATTTTAGATTCCAGATTTGGATTCAGAAAATCCAACTTCAGAGTCTGCATCTTTAAAGAGGGATTAGAGAATGATAAAAAATCAATGATATATTTCCTGTTATTTAAATTGAACCCACCATGAGCACCTCCATTATATATGCTTATCTAATTCTCATTAATCTAGAGTTATCATTCTATACCTACTGGCCAGATTCTCAGATCCTAAAGCCTTCTAATCATCTCCAATGTTATAAATAGCACCTGCAGGTTATATGTACTAGCAGGTAATTTTATTCTAACAACCTTACTTGTGGTAAGTTCAAGCATGATCATAACTATTACTAACAGTGATAGTTATAGTAGGCAAAAGCCCTAGTCTAAGTGCTAATACTAATTTACTAATCATAACACATCTAGCTATGAGGTAATTAAAATGTTTTCTCATTTCAGGATTTGAATATAGCCAGTCTTCAGAGTCCATTTTCTTAGTTACTGTTCCACACTGTTTGAAACATACAATTTACTCTTTTAAATCATGGAAAGGTACTAATTTTTTTCATTTAAAGTTGGTGCCTAGGACTTCAATCTGCAAACAGGAAGCGTATTTCTCATTAAGGCTGGTGACACCTAAGGTAGGTAATAAAAATAAAGTTAAAAAAAAAGTCGAACTTACTTCATCTATTAAATACCTTGTTTTAAAATACTGTAGGACAAACATGAAGTCCTGGATAATCCTGGCTCCTCTTTGCTAAATATCTACTTAATACAGAATTACTAATTATATTGAAAAAAGATCTGAAATCATAGTGACTAACTCCATTTTCTTAGCCACAAAAATGGGTGAGAAAGGAGATCTGCGGGATGGAGGAGGAGAGGGAACTGTTTAGGAAGCTTCTCTGGTTCTTTAAAACGACCCTAAAAATGTTATAGGGCAGCCCCGATACAAAAACAGGAGGAAAAGCAGTTGAGAAAACAAACAGCCTTCCACGTGGCGCTCACAAAAGTCTAATTAGTGTACTTCCATTACTAAATACAGGAAAGGTACTGATCGTTATCGGGTACTTTCTTCCCTGCACGCCAGGTATTCTGAGATTGATCTTTGATTCTGAAAAAGTCACAACTTTTGCAAGCCCGAAGCCCCGCTTACGCCCCATCGAAGCAGCCTAAGGATGCTCGGGGTGCAAGTCTGAGAGGCGCTCAAGAGTCCCAGCAGGAATGTGCAGGGACCTCTCCGAGCCAAGTCCCTCCAGGCAACGGTTTCCTAGCAACGCCGCTCCGGCCAGCCGCAGTGGGGCTACCCACCGGGTTACCGGTTTAAGAGTCCCCCGGAGAGGCACCGGCAACACTGGGGCGGGGTCTTGCCAGACGCCCCTCCCGGTACTACAGCCTTCCCATGTCCCGGATGTTGGCTCTGCTACTCTCACCTCCCCTAGCTTCCCGCCTTGGTTGCCATCTAGGCACCTCGTACTTTTTGGCGTCTTTCTTCAGAGCAGCATCCTAGAGGTCTCCTTTCCTGGAACAATAAAGACAAACTCTTGTAGCCACCCGACCCAGGAAGAATGGGTTCCTGGGAAATGTAGTTCTTTCTGCTAACAAGTGGTGAGTCTTTAAGGAAAAAGAACTACAATTCCCAGAAATCTAAGTGATCATCGTCCACGACTAAAACATGTCCCTGCTGCTTGGATTGCATTAGGCAGTAAGGTTCTGGGCTTCTTTATTTTCCTAGCTGCTTGGATTTTGCTCAGTCTCACTACAGGCTTGTGGGAGAAATATTTTTTAAGCATCCTGTGAGGGACTCTAAATATAATAATTTATTAAAGAGATATAAGTCTTTATTTTTTTTTCACATTTCTTTCAGATAAAAGATCTACCCACCACCAGAAAATATGTCACTACAGATGGTAACAGTCAGTAATAACATAGCCTTAATTCAACCAGGCTTCTCACTGATGAATTTTGATGGGCAAGTTTTCTTCTTTGGTCAGAAAGGCTGGCCCAAGAGATCCTGCCCTACTGGAGTTTTCCATTTTGATGTGAAGCATAACCAAATCAAGCTGAAGCCTGCAGTTTTCTCTAAAGATTCCTGCTACCTTCCTCCTCTCCGCTACCCAGCCATTTGCACAATCAAAGGCAGCTTAGAGTCTGGAAAGCATCAATACGTTATCCATGGTGGGAAAACACCAAACAATGAGCTTTCAGATAAGATCTATGTCATGTCTGTTGTTTGCAAGAGCAACAAAAAAGTTACTTTTCGTTGCACAGAGAAAGACTTGGTAGGAGATGTTCCTGAAGCCAGATATGGTCATTCCATTGATGTGGTGTACAGTCGAGGAAAAAGTATTGGTGTTCTCTTTGGAGGACGGTCATACATACCTTCTGCCCAGAGAACCACAGAAAAATGGAATAGTGTAGCTGACTGCCTGCCCCATGTTTTCTTGGTGGATTTTGAATTTGGGTGCTCTACATCCTATATTCTTCCTGAACTTCAGGATGGACTCTCTTTTCATGTCTCCATTGCCAGAAACGATACCATTTATATTCTAGGAGGACATTCTCTTGCCAATAACATCCGCCCTGCCAACCTATATAGAATAAAGGTTGATCTCCCCTTGGGTAGCCCAGCTGTGAATTGCACAGTCTTACCAGGAGGAATCTCTGTTTCCAGTGCAATCCTAACTCAAACAAACAAGGATGAATTTGTTATTGTTGGTGGTTATCAGCTTGAAAATCAAAAAAGAATGGTCTGCAACATTGTCTCTTTAGAAGACAACAAGATAGATATTCAGGAGATGGAGACTCCAGATTGGACCCCAGATATTAAGCACAGCAAGATATGGTTTGGAGGCAATATGGGAAATGGAACTGTTTTCCTTGGCATACCAGGAGACAATAAACAGGCTGGGTCAGAAGCATTCTACTTCTATATGTTGAAATGTGTTGAAGATGATGTGAATGAAGACCAGAAAACATTAACATGCAGTCAGACATCAACAGATGACCCAGGGGACTCCACTCCCTTTGAAGACTCAGAAGAATTTTGTTTCAGTGCAGAAGCAAACAGTTTTGATGGTGATGATGAATTTGACACCTATAATGAAGATGATGAGGAAGATGAGTCTGAGACAGGTTACTGGATTACATGTTGTGCTACTTGTGATGTGGATATCAACACTTGGGTACCATTTTATTCAACTGAGCTCAACAAACCTGCCATGATTTACTGCTCACATGGAGATGGACACTGGGTCCATGCCAAGTGCATGGATCTGGCAGAACGCACACTCATCCATCTGTCAGAAGGAAGCAACAAGTATTACTGCAACGAACATGTAGAGATAGCAAGAGCATTGCAAACCCCCAAAAGAGTCCCACCCTTAAAAAAGCCTCCACTGAAATCCCTCCACAAAAAGGGTTCAGGGAAAATTTTTACTCCTGCCAAGAAATCCTTTCTTAGAAGATTATTTGATTAGTTTCACAAAGCCTTTCAAATTCAAGTTCACTGAATTTTTCAACCAATTTTAAAGAATCATAACAATGATAAGAATTGTGCCCCTATTTTTGTTTATCAAAAATGTCTGTTTTCTCATTTATATGTATTGACTGCATTGAAAAAGTGCTTGTAATGCAAAACAAAATAACTGAGAAGATTTCACTTAAATATCTCTTAAAGACACATTCTGATCAGAATTTTTTATCCAAGAAATGAAAACAGTAGCAGTAATAATAATCAAAGCAGGGGGCCTCCCTGGTGGTACAAGAGGTTAAGTGTCAGCATTATGAAGCTATCTGTAGCCACTGCAGCACCAAGTTCGATCCCTGGCTAGGAAGCTAATCCACATATGGCGCAGCAGCAAACCTCTCCTGTCTTGCCCACTGCTCCCCTCAGCAGTGTATTTCAGTAGATCTGCCTGGTCTGCTCCTCCACTCTGTCTCTGGTGAATCCTCTCCACCCACCCCCATCCCCACACCTCTGGCCTGCACCCAGCTCTTGGATACATAAATAAATAAATCTTTAAAAAAAATAGTCAAAGCACACTGACAATCCTTATATAATTTCTGTTAACAAAGAATCTATATTTAAAACAAATGTAACCAGTAAAAAAAGCTCATGCCCAAAGGAATTAAGCTAATTAGGACAACATAACAATTTGATGGTTGGCCAAAAATCAAAACTGAACCACCTATATCCCATGGCACAAATGCTCTTTATGCATGTTTAACCTGGCCCCCTGGTTATGCCCATGAACAGAAAAAGTTCCTTGTAAGGAACTTTTGTGAGAAATTAGGTAGGTAGGTAGGTAGCTGGGTAGGTAGGTAGGTAGACAGATAGACTATTAGCATGAAGGAATAGGAAAAACCATCTACATCATTTGTTACATCTTATCAAATCATCTGCTTGCACTTTTTTCAGAGGATTCTTCCTTCACCTGGTGCACAGATGCCAAATCACAGTCACTTGAACTGATCCTTTGAGAAGTTTAATGAAAACTGAACTCCACCGCTACTTAGCACTCTGAAAAATAGAGGAGAATGGGAGTACACTAAGAAAGGACCACCAAGTAAATCTAATGGAGAAGAATAGTATTATTTTCCCAAATAATAAAAATTTTAAACTTTTCATAAAGTTAACAGGCAGATTTTAAATGATGAAAAAGAAATTTGTGTATGTGTTTTGCTAATATATGGATTTTGCTGCCAATAAAAATTATACAATCAGTGAGCTCGCTAAGGTCAATTAGATACTTTCTAGAATGAAAGTTAAAAGGAATGCCAGTTTGGGGACTTCAAGATATTAATTGAAAATTAGAAATCATAGAAGCAAATATCTTCCCTCCTGAAGCATTTCCCTAGAAGACCATCTCCCCTTTTCTAAGAGCTTGACCTCTTATTCATTAGCCTTCATTGAGAGTCTCCACTGTGAAAAAAACTATTACCAAATTTAGGGGAAATGTGTACCATACAAGAATTGAAACCCCGGAATATAAGTTCTGCTAACTGCTTTATGTCTCAAATACTGACGTTAATTTGAATAAATCAAATCATTGTCTCTTTGTTTCAGTGATGTTGTTCTAGGAATATTCCTTTTGAACAATTGCTGTATCTTCTTGATTTTTGTTGTTTCAACCCCATACATAAAACTAATAAAATATTAAAATGTATTCTATTTATATTGATTCACTGCTGTCATTAGCATTCATAGTCATACAAATAAGGGCAAAATTAATTTTCTCTGGATCATTTTTCTTTGATTTCTTTTTTATCTGCTAGTAAAAAGTAGCATAAATTGGAGCTAAAATATATTTCTGAGTTCAAAAGAGTTCTTTCAAGAAGTATATATGTTCCCTTATATTGAATTGTCTACAGTGAGCAATGGCAAAAAACTTATTACCCCATATCAGGTTTGTAGCCAATGAGACCAAGATGTGATCACCTAAGTGATTTCAATTCTGAACTTACTGGATTCTATAGACAAACTGAGACCTCATCAACATAGCTGCTTTGGAGTGTGTGTGTGTGTGTGTGTGTGTGTGTGTGTGTGTTTCAAAAACAAGTACTAAGCTTTTACTCATAATATATCAGTAAAAAGACAGGTCTTTTAAGTCATCTCACCAACTAGTTCATCAGCTGTGACTTTAAGATAATAGGATAATTATCTTAAATTCTTTTCTAATAAGCATTTACAAACATTCAAATGAAACAGATTGGAAGGTTATTCGCTTCTGTTACAGGACAACCCCAGTGTGAAATGGGTTGACCTGAGTATGGGTCCTCACCTGTGCTTAGAGAGGACTTAGAATGAGACTCAGCTGCCGGCACACATTTAAAAAAAGAGATAAATTGGTGAATGTGTCCTACCAGTTTCGCTGGGCTGGGACCCCAATAGCACGCTGAAGGCTGGCAAAAAATCAGCAACCCCCAAGGCCCACATGCCTCTGGTTATCTACCAAGCCTAGCTACTTAACTTCACCCTTAGTTCCCAACAATCCTCTCTTCAGTGGTGATGACATTATGGGATTTGCCCAGGGATCTCTTTGGCCTAGGGTGGGAGTGGAGTCCATAAAACCTGAGTTTGTGGAGTTCGTTCAGGACATCCTCTCTCCCCAGCAATTCCACCAATGTTTTGCGTAAAACATTTCTAGAACCCATGTTTCAATCACCTTCAGAGTCTTACAGGTCATTCCTTTTAAGATACTCAACAGTTGTTCCTCTTTCTCCATTAGAACTGTTAAGGAGGCATTTGCTTTCTGGAAACAGACAGATGTCATTTAAAGCCTAATAGGGGTTTGAAAAAACTCTCAATATTGTGCAAAACCAAGTCTGAATACAAGCTAACAAAATGGGTTTTCTGATGTGCCTTACAAAAAAAGGGCTTAAAAGTAAGTCTCAAAACTATTAACATGAGAAAAATACCAGTAAATAAGTATATGACTTTCCAAGGTGACCTTTTTAAGGGGATATATTCATCTACAAGTATCAATGGATTCAACATATTAGAAGAAAAGGCATAATGAAAAAGGATTAGTTAGCCAATAAGCCCTGGGGTGAGATGAAGCTTGCAATATTAAGGGACTGAAAGACATCAGTCTGGTTAAAACATAGCAAACAAGGCAAGTGTGGAGAGATAAGAGCGAGAGAGATGTCTCGAGTGATAAGGGTAATAGGAGTGTCTTTGTTCTAATAAGATGACTCCTGGCAATTCCTGGGTAACTATATGGCGGAGGATTATTGGGTCTCTCATGACAGGCAGGGTGTGAAAATATGTATTTGTAGAATTTATGCCCATAACCCCCAAAGCAGGTACAACAACGTAAAGCAACTTTACCTCACACACATGCAAGGTAACTGTGTGATGACTGATTGTGGTAAATATCTCACAATGAATAAGTATATCAAATCATGGTGTTGCACACATAAGAAATGCAATTTTGTTTATCAATTACAGCTCAAAAACTAGGCAAGGATAGATAGCACTAGTGAAAAAAAATCAAAGACAACTACAGCAAAGAGCAAGGCCCCCTGCTGTGCAGGAATTAACCTGTTCCTTGCTGGGTTGTGGGTTCCCAAGCATGGGGTAGAGCTGTCAGAATGGGAAGGGAAGCTGGGGACTTGGGGCACAAACTATTGACCTATGTGTACCAACATATCTCAACATTTTAAAAATTGACTTGGTTGCAGGAAGACAGACCATGAACCCCAGTGTTGAGTTGAAGGGAGCTGGGTGGAAAGTTTCTGATATAATTGGCACTGAGGTGCTTGAAAATTCATGGATCATAAAAAGGTGACTGAATAGTGTGACAGGGAGGACAGAGCAAGAGGGAACCCTGTGAAAATGTGGCGCAGCGCGTTGAGCACAGCACTGTGAAGCTGTCTGCAGCCTCTGCAGCCTCTGCAGCACCGGTTCAATTCCCAGCCGGCCAGGGAGATAACCACATGGTGCACAGACCTCTCCTGTCTTGCCCACTGCTCCCCTGTTTCTGTTCCATCTGCCTGTTCTGGTCCCCTCTCTGTCTCTAATGAATTCTCTCACCCTCTAGCGCTTCTGGCCTATACCCCAGTTTTCATATAAATAAATAAATCTTTAAAAAAAAAAAAACAACAAAACGTGGCACAAAGCGGATACGCTTTGTGTTTAACATGGAGATGACATTACCAACGTCAAAGAGATCAAATTGTTAGGGGGAACAGGATGTCCTAAAGCTAATTCCCTACAGGCTTTGTGGACTCCACCACCACCCCAGGCCAAAGCCAAAGACACTGGGAACTCCAAATCCCATCACCACCAAAGGCTTTGGAGGGGTCCCCCATTTTGACTCTCCGCCAGCTCTCAGAGTCCGGCCAGCTCAGAGAGTGCTTTTTGGGTTTCCAGGTCGATGGATCAGGTAGGACGCATTAAAGACTTTATTTCCCTGTTTTCTCCCTGAGTTGTACATTTTCCTTATTTCCTTTTCCCTTGTAAATAAACCTTTTATTAACCTTTTGTGTATGTCTGTAGTGGAGTATTCATAAGTCCCTTGTAAGTACGCGGGTGAGGACCCACAGCCAGGCAACCCGTTCAATATCGGGGCTGCCCTATAGCAAAATAAGAAAATACATGCAAAAATTTCCTCCCCCCCCAATATAAAAGGATTATGTAATGCCTAGCTATTGTTGTTGCTATTATCACTGAAAGCACTGACAAAAGAATCTGGGTTCTAGATCAATTCTGCCCTGATCTATAGAGTCCTGGACAAGTCAACCACTCTGACCAAAATTTTGAGTAAATAATACATGAATTTTCTGGGGAATGGGTCCATCTTTTTTGCAGTTTTCAAAGGAGTTAAAAAAAATAAACACTGATTTCAAAGACTGCATTTTCAAAAGGCTTATTATTTTCCTCAGTATCAAGAAACAAATGCTCTCTCTCATCCTGCAGTAGGATAAATTATACTCATTATCACTATTCTGTTGCCCTTTATTTCAAAGATCACCAAATTTATTCTGTTTCCCAGAAGAAAAGATGTTGCTTCATTTTTTAAATGTTGCACTCTATATTATGAGTTGAATATAAATCACAAATACTCACTGTTTTCAAAATGCAAACTTTTATTTCAAATACTTAAACATACAATTGTTAGCAAGAATCACCATACTAGTAAGGAGAAGAAATAATAAAATATAAAAGGAAGCATTGAAATACACAAAACACTTAATTTGAAAACAGGTCCCCAAAGCATCAAATAAATCCATTG